CTTGGTCAATAACCCATACTTATTGTTGACGCAACAAGCAAGGTCTGTTTTTTACCATTGCGTTAAAAGTGGCTTTGAGGGTTCCAAGTGGATGCTTTTGCTCTCAGAGGTCGAAAACGAAAGAAACAGATCACTTTTGCATTCAGTGGTCGGAAAAACACTCGCGAAAAACGATTGCTGTGTTGTGGTTAGAGATTCGACAACCCAAAGTCAAGAAATGGCTGAGTTGAGTCATACCACAGCATACATGTAGCCGACGCAAAGGGCGGGAAAATGTGTGCGAGCGAGTCAGGATTGGTTTGAGTTTCACTTCTGATTGGATGACAAAATGGCGCGAGTTTTTTCAAGCCAATCGCTTTATTTAACAAATAAAGAAGCCTAAGCCGTGTATTACACTGTGACAAAACACGACGGGCATTTAAGGACACGAGGGAAATGTAGAAAACACGAGCCGCAGGCGAGTGTTTTCTACATTTCTCAAGTGTTCTCAAGTGTCCGGAGTGTTTCATCACAGTGTAATATACGGCTCAGGCTTCTTCATTTGCTTTATGATATAGGCGAAAAACAATAAAACACGCTTTTTTTGTGTTTTATACTCTGATAAAACGTGGGTTTTGACCAATCAGAGCGCGTGCGGGGTCCTATCTGTATTATAAAGCGTGGTAGTGCAAAACCAAAGCAGATTCGAATTGGTTTCAACACTCAAATGAAAACCGCTCAAACTGATGTAATAAATTTCAGACTAGCAATTAAAGTTATTTTGTTATGTATCATGGTTTGTCGTCATTTTGTTGAGAGAGTTTGGTGACATTTAGCCGCCAAATTACTGCCGTGTTATTGCAAGTTGCGCACTGCGCGCGTCATTCAAAACACTGAGTGGTTGAAATCGCTTTGTTGAAGGATGTACGATCTTTTACCATCGAGCGTAGCGAATTTTGAAACAAAATAAGTTGTGGAGGCCGTTACCTTAGAGTAGCTGAAGTGTTTTAAAAGGCTGTTTTATTAATGCACTCAGGTAACGTTTAGGTTTTCGTGTTGATTTGATCACATGTAAATATCTACAGTGGTGTTGAAATTGTATGTGGTCTTTTACAACTTACGTTTACATGGTGTCTACAACTTTCAAGTATGTTAGAAGGGGTTGATATAACTTTCACACAGGTTTGTTATCTCCATGAGGTATTTGGAGAGGTCGTTACCGTCGTTAAATGGTACACAGGTAAAATGAATTAAATATTTTACTGAAGTATCGCACCACTTTCTGCCATTCATTTATTTCGTTTCTCGCTCGGCTATATCTCCAACAACATTCATCTTCAATTGTAACATATAAATTAACTCGCCCCCTTAGAAACTTATAGCACCAGCTCACTGCGAAAAATTGTTCCAAGATGTACAACGCACGTTCGACGAAATTGAACTGCCATTACCATTAGAGCTGTTTTCACACCAAAACCCTAATAATCACACGGGCCAATCACAAGTTAGACAGACAATCCATTGAACCAATCACAACTCAAAGCAAAAGTCATGCAGCCGACGCAAAGCGCGGGAAAATTCGTGCCAATCGCATAGCGTAGAAATGCAAAACCAAAGCAAATAGCGAATTTCTTTTGACACTAAAATAAAGGCCGCTGTACATGTGACTCTCTTTAACGTCCTGGAATAGTTGTGCGGTTTGGTCTTCATTGCCACCAATAAAATTCTTGAAATCTAATTTGTATCCAAATATTTATAGTCTATTCATTCTCAAGTCAAATGTCCGTATGATTTAAGGAGCGCTGTACTAGTCCGGTCAGATTAAGGTCAGCTGTTTTTGCACTAGAAATATACAGCGTGTTTTCTTCTCAGCGTAAAGGTCACCCGCAAAATGAAAACAGAATTCAGATTCCTCAATTTGTTGGTCGTATTTCTACCCGCGTTGATTTTTGAGCGCTAAGCATGAATTGAAAGAAAACTAAATCTCTGTACGAGTCAGGAAAAATCACAGGCGCTATCAATGTCCAAATATAGATAAAAGTGCTAAAAATAGCGGCCGAGAGTCGGATCCAGACCGCGCCCCAACCGCAGACCAACTTGACACTGAAATGCTGCCCCTCCTCGGGTCGATACCAGCTGGTTAATGTCATCATTGTATAGAGAGAGGCAAGACAAAATAGCACTTGGAAAAATGAATAACTGTACGCTACGCCGTCTTGCTCATCGTCAAAAACGCAGCCGCCATCAATGAAAACGCCGCTGCGCACTGTCGCGTCTTGACCATCCGGGACCTCGCGAGTTTCGCGTGCGGGTGATGAATATCCCGGATGTAGTTTGCCGTACTGTGGAGCACGAACATCACGCAGACACGCGTAGATTAATACAAAGAACATGAACCCCAAGCTCAAGAGGATTTGAATATTGCTGAATGGACTTCCGGGAAAAAGATAATCACGTGACGGGTTGCAGACTTCGTCAGGTTCGTTGGACAGTGCTAACCATGTGATAAATGTATTGTACGCAGTGGCGACCGCTGCTTGTAGCAGGCCCGAACGCGGGCGCGCGTCTTGAACAACGGGATTTACAGAGATGTACGTAGCGGCTACGCAAAGATAGACATTAAATGTTACGAAGAACATGTTATTGTGACAGCCAGGCGACCAAGCGTAGAGGATGTAAAACGAGATAATTGAAATAATGGAGATTGCATAAAGAGTGATTGTAGGTACCCAGAGGACCATGTACCATAGGTTTAGCTGCGTGTAGCTTGTAGAAGCTTCGAGTCGCTCCACACAGCTTACATTCCATGCATGAACAAAGTCTATGAGCAGTACAAACTGTAAAATTATGAACGCGAAGCCACCGTTTAAGCCAAAGAACGTCCACACTTCCCCAGTGTATTCCGAATGAGGAATCAGCAAAAACAGAAACGTGAGTAGCGATAAAATTAGAATCTTGACGCCCCAGAAACCATTGTTTATTCTCGCCCGACTCTCCCTGCTTGACGAAATGCCAAATAAAACCAGACTCTGGAGAAAATAGAAGATTGCTAGCAGAAAGAGAACTCTATAAACCGCCGCATAACTGAGTAACGTGTCGCAGAAAAAGTACGAGACCATTTGGCAAAACCTATCGCCCATGTAATGTCTTGTACGCGGTGTCAACAGAAAACAACATAGCAGGCAGGCACCAACTAGCAAACCAATGTAGGACATTCGTGTGAAGATAGATTGTCGAAGGCGGACGCGGGGTCGAAAACATCGTGCACAGATGTGTAAGCCGCAACATAAAACCACATCAAGCTTGTAACACAGTTCAAGGATGGCATCCACAACTCGGAACTTTGGCGCTTCGCGAGAATTTGCCTGGTTGTTAGTTCTTGGGTTTTCCACAACAACTTCATGACTTGACGAAGAAGCCGAAGCCATATCTCCTAACATCTACTTTTTAAGGCTGTGTAATCCTGTAAATAACGTCCTCTCCGAAATTTGTCTATCTATGGGACCGTCGCAAAAAAGCCAGCTTAACGACTGTTGTTCAATGTTGTTAGTCTTATAACACGTGTCAGTGATTAGGAGAAATCTTAAATGTTTAATGTTGCGTGTTCTTTTCTTTTATTGTTTCAGTCTCTTTGTTCTACATACACTATTGAGACACCACTCTTTTTACCCAGAGAAGAAAATTTTCTGTGAAACTTTAACAGAAAAATGTAATATATAAGCGACAGCGAGGAAAAAAAAGTTTATCTTGCGAAGGATAGGATAGCATGGTCTGTGGAGCATGACTTATCTTCTTTCTAGTTCACGTTAAATCAACAAATTCTGATTCGCTCCATCTTGTAAACAATGACTTGTTTTCTTCTCGGTAGACGGTTTTACAAAAACTACGTCAACGGTTTAATGCTTTCTCATTGAAAACTATATAGCCGAGAGATGAGGAGGTATTCAACGATTAACTCGAGATGATTTACCGGTTAAGTCAGTGTTTCGTTTTAATTTCACAGCCGCGATACTTACTAGGGCAGCGTTCACAATACTGTACGCCGAAGAAATTTGAAAACGCTGCTTTATTTTTGCGGTTAGACATACCGTTTACATTAATTCGTCACGTGGACGGAGCTTTTGGAAAACACTCTTCAAACCGGAAGAATTTGAAAACGCCGGCTTTGCGTTTACGTCTGGACAAAACAATTTAAAAACGGAGTTTTTCGTACGCAAATCCAAAATGACCGGTCGTTGTTGTGTTTTTAAATTTCTCCGGCGTAGAGTGGAAGGCGCCTTTGCGAAACGTTTTGTCTACTTATCCAATCGTAACTCCTAATCTTTTTTCAGTTTTTTTTTTTTTTCATTTTTTTCACTTTGAAAAATTTTCATTTTTTTCAGTTATTGTGACAATTCAGAAGACCCACATTTAGAAGAAACAGTATTAGATAATTGTGCAGTGAGCAAAATTTCGATTAAAAATTTTGCTTTTATCGAAACGCCTGCCACGGGAAATTGAAAAGCTCTTTCAGAAATCTCTTCTAGACAACCACAGATAGAAACTCTGACACTACTAAATATGAGCAAAATCATGTTTCTATGAGGAATTTAAATTTGCCGTGAAGAAAAGGCTCTCAAAGAGAATTCAAAAGCTCTGAACGTCGCATATCTAAGAACAATAAAACAACGGTTGTTTTTAATAGGGTCAGAGTATGTTTCTTTCCAGTGAAAGTCGCACGGTATGAAATGAAACATGAAAAGACGCCAAACAGTTGCTTGTATGTTTGCACGTATGTCAAAACTCCGGATTTTCTCAGAACTGTTATTATCTGTTGAGCTTCACTGGTTTTTACCGGTCTGACGTCTTTTCGATGGTAACATTCAGTAGCTCTAGCACACGCAAAAATTACAATCGGGTCACCAGTTTCCACTGGCTTGTACCGTTCTATCCCCTACCCCACGCGTGATCAAACCGTACCATGAAGAGTTTGTATATGGATCGACCAATGTGAGAGTGTGTGTGGATTTGAAATTCGATGGCAAACTTTCAAAATTATGTATCTTTTCTTCCTATCTTTGAAAAGCTACAATAAAGTTATCTGCTGTCCATTTTCTGTCTTTCTTGCGCTTTTGAAAACAATTTGAGCGATGCTGGTTTCAACGTCTGAGACAGAGATGTAGACATAGAACATAGTTTATTTTACTTGGTCGTACACTTAGCTATGGTAACGGTGCGTTCCATAGACTTGATGAGCAGAGTCTACGGGATGTACCAGCTAGTTTACAGGTGCGCCAAGAAAACAAAGCAAAAGTGTACATTTTGGGGAAAAAAAAACTTTAAACGAAACTAACTACGATTATATAACTTCTATAAAATATCTAAAAATGTAAAAATATAAAAACTGTAAATTGTACAGATAAGACTGAACTATGCATACGTAGGATATGACTGAAAAGGAGAAAACTGTTAAAATACGTAAATTTACGTTAGCACTGCGATCACTCCCGGTTTCGGTGATCCAGTGAAGGTCTGAGAATAGCCAATCCTCTGACGCAGATGTTACTCACGTGGAAGGCTCCAAGCGGCGTTCAACTCATTTTCAGCGTCCGCGAAAACATCCATGCAGCGCACGTGGTAGATTATACGCGGAAGGACTGGTAACCATGTTTTGAAATAACTTGGGAGCGATTAGTTTGGGAATAAGGTCTGCATACTCTCACCGTTCATCCTCTCTTGGCTACATTTTTTGCATGAAACAATTTCAGAGGACGTGGCCACCCACTAGAACATTTCGCACATTATTATATAAACAAACACTCTTAAATTTATGCTCTCCATTAACGTTTCTTATCTAAAAAACCTTCCTTATACTTCACAGGTCATTGACGTCATTTCCTTGTGTCATAGCAACTGCACGCCTTTCATCGATCAATACCGACTGACATATCATTTAAAACAATACGCTTTACGAAGCTTCTGCAACCCTAACATGTTTCAAATTAAATTCAGTAGAAAGTAAAAACCAAAGTTGAGTTATGTAAACTCAGCTAAAAGGGTGCCAAGTCGACCTTCCCTGTATTAATTTCTGAACATCGAGCTCTGTACAGCCATTCCGCTAATCTACAATTGACGAAAGTTTACGAATGTACACTCACGAGCAGTTCTATTTATTAAATTACCACAGTCTTCTTGTGCAGCGATATGCCTAATTTCCCAACAGACACAACACCCCAATCATTCTTGAAACGAAACTCTGGCTTTTTCGCTCGGTTGAGACACAGCAAAACCAAAACGAAAGACTCTCGAACGCAATATAAAAACGGCTCACCTCAATTGTCTCTTAGTTTTGTGAGTTTCATGTGTTTCCGTGGTATTCTGGGCAGTTCCAAAACGATTCCAGCGAATTGTATTATCACTGTTTCCTCAGTCTCTAGATACCGCTCAGCAACGATCAATGTAGGTTGATCACGTAGATCTTTGAATGTACAATCAAGGGCTGCAATTTTTGAATGCTGAATATAACTGAAATTAGGGTGTAAGTCACACGTGGTGGACGGGTCTGAACGAATGTTCCGAAGGTGAATAGTTGCAACTGAATACAAATGGAGACTTAATTGGGAAAATATATACACATATCGGAATGGCCCTCTTTATTGTCGCCTACAAACTTAACTATTCTACAACCGGCATATTAGGATTTGAGTCGTTTCGGCTGATATCAAGCCTCATCAGAACACCTAGCCAAAGGCGGGTGTTTACGACTCCCGAAGGGAGAAGGAGATAGGAAATGGAAATGGAGAGTATACATACAAAAACGCATATGAAGTATCTTTGTATATTAATATTTAGCATAGTTCGAAGCAAAGGAACTCATTCCTTCAGGCTGTGTCTGGTGTTGGGCGGTGACGCTTGCAGCGTTTGTCCCACCAGTCATCAGTGGTGATATTGGTTGCTGTTCTTGCAGCTGTTCTTGCAGCTCAACAAGGTCGAACCGAAAGCATACATTGGCGCCTCTGGCAGCCGCTATACGGTCCATGTGTGACCTTGGAGCACAGCTTACAGCCAGCTGGAATCAGCTTCTTGTCAGAGTGATCAGTCTGCCATATCTACGGGTAAAAATAGTGGGGGTTGCTGTGCTTGGCTTAAAGTTTTCTACCTCTCCTCCAAAACCATGACGCAGAAGATCTTCTTGTCAGTGTTATCAGTCTACCATATCTACGGGTGACCGTAGCGGCCACGCTGAGTTGAAAGAATAGGAAACAGCTAACGTTTTTATTTCTGTCAGATGACCTGTCAGGTGGTCCTGGAGGAGCAAGTAACTGTTCTGGATCTTCTTGAACGATAATGTCGACTTCGTTGTTGTTGTCCGAATGAAACAAATGCGCTTTGATACTCTCCATGACCATTTCTGATCTAAAGAATTGCGAAGGTGCAGCAATCTTTATATTCACAAGCCATTGACGTCATTTCCTTGAGTCATAGCAACCGCACGCGTCTCATCAATTCTAGAAATTTCTACCGACTGACTGGCAGCAGTAAGCATATCATTCGAAACAATACGGTTTATGAAGCCTACTGGGTTGCTTCTGCAACGTTAATATGTTTCAGGGAAATCCGTAGGATATAATAACAAGATTGAGCTATGTAAATAATCAAAATAGCTATGAGCCACTGAGCTTGGAAGATGGATCGTCTGTAAACAGTGACAATTTTGATGCCCCTGACTTGAAGTTCTAAGAGTTCGAAGAATAACGAACTTGACACGGTGCATGCAATTGCAAGCGACTGTAAAACGGCCTTAGACGGCGTGATGTTGGAAACCCGGGGGGGACTCCAATATGAAAAGGTCGGGTCGTCGTCTTGGGTACAAATCAAGGATTCTGGTCTCACTTATGGTGTTGATGACGAAACGTCACCATTCTTAGCTGTCAAAGTATCCTTAAAGGTGCACTCGAAGAAATAATAATAAAAGAAACGCTCTCATTTAGTTCTGTTTTTAGGCTTGATTTCCGCTGATCTCTCGAGTGCGCGAGTCGGGTCTTCAAGTGCGCGAGGGATACTTTCTTGAACAGTGGCTAATCGAACCTATTCTGTTTTAAGTGGTATCTTTTAAGGGTCTGATGAAGCTCGAGCAGCCCCCATATTAGTCTACTTCAGGAGTTCAATTTAAATTTTCCGACGAGCGTTCTTGTAGTCGTAATGATATGGGAGTTCCCCATCCGGCGTTCCAAATGTCTAACAGGAAGTGACGAAGTGATGGAGTGTTGGAATGAAATGGTTCTTCCACTGCAACTTGGAAAATAATATTTTCCAAGTTAAAAAGGGCGCCA